AAAAAAAAACAACTACATTGGCTCTGTCAGCACTTCAGGAGTGGAGCAGGCGTAACTTTACATCTCATATGAGTGTTATGTATGTACTATCCATGATGTAGATAGATTATTAGCCTCTTCATAAAAATGTGAGACATCAAAGTATGAACACATCTATCACGTCATAATCATGCCAATGAAGAAAAATGGTTGATCTCATCATCCAAAAGTTTGCCAGTTTAACAGTATTCTCCTAACAAGAAAAAGTCGAGGGCGACAGAGCCTACATAGTGGGTCAAGCAGCACTGAAACAAACAACACGCATGCAACTGCATCCTTGAAAGAGATGGCAACAACATGGAGCTACGGCAGCTGGTAGATCATTAGCTATATGTTGGACATAATGCTGCTGCTTCTTTTTTTAACAAGAAATGGACATTTGCATGTGTGCAATATAATAGTATGCCTCTACTGACCGAATTCAAGGCTAATTTTTTGCCATCGATTTTATTGCCAGAGAAATTCATAAATATCATTTTTACAAGTCTAGAAATTAATAAAACAATGAACCAAATTGAATAAAGGAGATAATACACCCTAACTTAGAGGAAGTTAGCTCACAAGGCAAAAGTTGACCTGAGCATGAAGTATGCAATCACGGCCAGAAAAAAGGATTGGCAGAGCTTGCTGCTGTACATTCGTGGGCACAATGTATCCAACCTCTTCCACCCTGCAGCATGGGGTGAGCAATTCCATCAACATCATTCACTCAATTCCAATGCAAGCTAATAGTTCCACCATACCCAATTCCATGAAAATCAAAACCTTGTATTTCCCATAGTCAAATTCAATAACTACATAGAATCCACTAAATATCAAGTTTTTTTATATTTTTTCACTGGAGAAACTAATTAATTTCAGTTATGTCAATTTTCTTTTTTTCTGTTCTTTCATTTTCTCAGCAACCAAACGGAAAGTGAAAAACTTGCATTCTCCCAATACCAAATAATCAACTTAGTCAATCCAAAATCAGAAATCTTCAGTAACGCAGTAGACTCCAGTCAAATCAAGGTTTATTCTTTTTTCACTTTTTTTAACTAAAGACAACATGATACTTCAGATACATTGATTTTTTCTCCGTTTTCTCGGCAACCAAACAGAGAGTTCACGGGAAAGAAATTGAAGAAAACTCACCTGCGTAATACGTGGTCGGGCACATGACCTTCACAGAGTTCTCGAAGCGTCGAAGACCTATTTGTTGTATCAGCTTCGTGCGAAAGACAAGAAGAACTGATAGAGGCTCGTAAAAGCTTGTGACCGAACAAAGAATTCACTGTCCGATTCGTGTAGCTGAGAAATAAAGGGCGGGTACAGTTAGGGCTCAAACGGTGAGGAGGACTGGGCTGCACAGAGAAAGTCCATGATAGGAAATACGGTTGAGTTGCGTATAAACACGCCATGGAAGATGTAGGTAGAAGGGTTCACTGAACTGAGATTGGCCCGGGAGAAGTGAGAGAGAGGACAGACAGGTTAGACCATGATAAAATAACAGTAACTTCACCCCCGTTGTTTTGGGTAATATAAATTTAGGCTACCAACAAAAATTTTTTGTAAAAAACTATAATTTTTTATAGTTAAATTATACTTTTAAAAATAAAATTATAATTATTTGGGATAATACAAAATCGATTATAAAATATTGTGAACAATCATAAATATACTAAATCAATTGTAAGTTCAACTTTAAAATGTATAATTTAAACTTCAAAAATTATAATTTTATGTAAAAAATTATAACTTCCACTATTGAAAAATATAATCAATTATATTTTAAAATCTATCAGGGTGATCTACTCTACTCCAAAGGCTACAACGGTGATCGGAGAATTTTATTAAGTAAAAGTAGATGGTGGGGGAGAGAGCAAGGATAAGCTTTAGGATAGGTTGGGTAGTTATGAGAGAGATAGGCGTGCAAAGAGTGTGTAGAGAGATGTAGATGTGTAAAAGGTGTCTCCCTCGTGTATAGAGGGCTAACAATTTATAAGCACAGAGTATTGGTTAAGGTGATGACGTGTGGGTAGGTTACTAGCTTTTCGAAGAGGATGACTATGTCTAGGATGCGTACAATTAAATATAGTGTTTGTGTGACCCGATTATGTATTGCATACATATTAATATAATTATGTGGACTAATTGCAATTATGTGAAATTAATTATTAGATAAAATTTTGGGTGTGAAAATAATATTAGATATGTTTTGGAATCACTTAAGAATTTGGAGAGAGGCAAGTAGAATTATTAAGTTGCATGTAAATATTTTTACACATGTGTCAAACAAAAGGCGATGAGTTATTTTAAAAGTTATATATGTGGGTGTGTGTATGTCAAGTGTTTGTGTGTATCTTAAGGTGTAGTAAAGTGTGTGTGTATAATGCATAGAACAATGTGTGTGTGTGTGTGTGTGTATACTGTAATATTTAGTAAAGTGAATATATTTAAAAGACAAACAAGTATGTGTGTGTGTTCAGGCTGTATAAAACCGTGAGTGAGGGAGAGTAAAGGAGAGGAAGAAGAAAGAAAAACAAAAAGAGAAAAGAAAGAAAGAAGAATTTGGGGGACTCCATGCCAAACCAAATTATAAGAAGGAAACAAGAAGAAGGTAAGGGTGTATGTGTGTGATTAATTTTAAGTATTTGTGCATGTGTGTGGAATTATTTTAGTGTAATTTCAAAGCATATTTTGGTGAGTTTAAATTAAGTGTATTAAATATAATTAGTGGGTTGTTTTGTGTTAAAATAATGGGTTGTTTTATTTTAATTCCAAAACAGATTTTTGTGAGTCTAATTTAAGTGTGTGGAATATAATTTAGTGGTTTTAAATGAGTATTCAATTAGATGTGAAAAAAATGTGAAAAAATGAATATTTGGGTGCTTTAGGTGGCTAGTTGAAATTGAGGTTTTTTTGGTGTAAAATGGAGAGTTCAAGGGTTCAATTAAAGGGTTGATTTGCATGAGTTAGGGAGTGTGAGAGTTTAGGTAATATTGTTTAATAATAAAGTATGAGAAAAATTAAAAATGGGTGCCGGTAATACCGAAATCTTGATTTCTAAATATTATTATCACTGGTATGAAATTTTAATCCACATGATCTAAAATTTTGCATGCTGCATTTTTAATTGATGCGTGATGTGATAATGTAAATTTCAAATGCAAATGAATATAATATCCGGTGCGGAATGTACAAAATGCCGGAAGTGTAGCTTTTTTGATTCGGGGTCGAAATGTGTAAAAATGTGTAGCTTTTTTGCATGGTTAACTATTAAATGCGATAAGCATATTGATATTGTAATTACAAATGTGTTAGGTACAACGGGTGAAACAGTCGGTGTTCGAACTAATACGATAACACCGGAAGGATTCACCGATAGAACCGAAGGGCAATAGATCAGTATATTTGAGGTGAGTGTATATCTTTTATACGTTTTGAAATGCTATTATAAGATGATGTTAGATGATAGGATTTAATATCATTTCTGTAGGATTATGTGTTATGTGCTTCTGTGATTGAATGATGTTTTGTATTGTGTATTGTGCATTGTGTATTGTGTATTGTGAAATATGGCGCACTGTTTGAGACAGGAGCGTCGATGCCTAATCACTGGGCGTGTAGTGGTGTGCTTGCACTGTGGTGTTCCCTAGAGGTTTGGGAGACACGGATCCATGTGGGATGGATTACCCAATGAGGGGTAGTATGGATGTGTTGTGGCTAGTGAATGCTTTAGAATTAGATTGATGTTATTGTTTGATACGTGTATTTATGTAGTATTTACCTACTTCTGTGTATTATTATCATTTTCATTTCATATACGGCATGTATACCCACTGAGCGCGTGGTTTAGCTTACACCCCTATAAACTTCTCCTTTTCAGGTACAAGAGAGAAGACATAGATCAGTCCACTGTCAAAAAGGGTTGTGTTTTGTACAATGTTAGTATGATATTTTGTTCGTTACGTGTTTAGTTTTAAATGAGTAAATGATACTGGTTAAGAGACTATATAATAATTTGTTGGATTGTTTATTATGTTAAATGAGAGATTATTATAGCAGGTTAATAATATATATATTTGTAAACAGACTCAACAGGTATACTTTGTGATGTATGCTATGTAGGTGTGAGATTTTGTATCTGTCTATAACATTGGAAACAAACAATTGGTACAGGTATTATATATGGTACAGGGTATGAGACAGATTTACCATCATGCTTAATAACTAAGGTGATGAGTGGTATTGTTGCACCTGTAAGATTAATTAGTGTGTTATTAATTTAGATTATATACATGTAAACAAGTGTATTAAAAAACCTAGTCGCATCTTATCCTTGGGAGACTGGGATGGGGCGTGACAATTTAGTTGGTATCAAAGCTAGAGTTTATAATTTTGTGGTCGAGTTGAGTCTAACATGACAGTGGACTTAGGGATTGGTCTGTTTAGGTGGGGTGTTAGAAGTATGTGTAAGTGTATAAAATATACATTGCATGTTATCATTACCCATATACGATATTTACATGTTTTACAGTGATACATGGAGGGAGAAGGTTCATCTTCTCGTGCTGGAGATAAGGGAAAAAGACCCCATGTAGAGGAGGCATCAGGTGATTGGGAAGCTAGACAACTGTGGGAAGCAACAGCTAGATACTTTGAGCAACATACAACGTGAGTGAAAACAGTAAGACCCAGGGGTACCTTATACGAGCAGTTTAAAAAGTTTGATCCACCAATATTTACGGGAACTGCAGGTTCGTTAGAAGCAGAGAATTGGTTACGACGCATCGAGAAAATATTCAAGGTGATGGGAGTCGACGAGGAGGATAAATTATTGTTAGCCACTTTTATGCTATCAAAGGAGGCCCAATATTGGTGGGAGGCTATGGAGAGAGCATTGCTGCCAGTGTACATTGAATGGGAGGCCGGTTTAGTTCCTAGAGTTCCCACATGACGACAGTTTACAGATGCTTTTGATAAGAAATATTTTTCCTCGATGTATTGATACCAGAAACAGAATGAATTCCTACATTTGCAGCAGGGGAATCAGCCGGTGATGAAATACGAGGGCAAATTTAATACTTTATCCAGATTTATGCCTTCTGTTGTCACAGATGAGGGGAAAAGATGCAGAAGATTCCAGATAGGGCTAAATTAAAATATTAGATCCCGTACTTTGATGCTAGAGTTAACCACATTTTCAAAATTATATAACAAAGCCCTTATTGTGGAAGCTTATTTGAACGACATGGAAAGTGCAAGTGAGCAGGCAAAAAAGGGAAGAGATGAGCCAAGTGGACAAGGTTCTAAGGGAATTTTCTTTAGTAGATTTTGGAAGGGAATGTTTCCAAATGGTGTAAATAAAAAGAAATCATGAGTCTCATCCCAGAGTCGAGGACAGGGAGTGAGTGGATCATCTTCATTTGCACCGGGTCAAGAGATGGGACAGACTCGGGGGAGTACATGTCACACCCCAAAATTTTTTTTTTCCTTTTAAAAAAAATACTCAGGTGTGACTAAGGAATAAAGTATATCAAACGTACAATAATCTTCCTTATATTATTTTATTTTCCCGTACGAGTACATAATCCTCACAAGATTATTTCAAATATTCTTGATACAACATAAAGAGAAATAATAATAGCAGACTCTATCCTTTCAACCTATCTTCCAGCTTGACTTCATATATCTGAAAAATGTTAAATAGGGATGAGCTCACCAGTTCAGTAGGATAACGTTTATCAATGACTACCAAGGTTTTAAAATAATGAATAATATAATTAAACCGCGAATAAATGCAGGAATAGGGCGAAGTAATGAATCAAATAAATAAATAAATTTCAGCATATATCGATCATATCAATCCATCAATTTTCTGGTCCACACATGAAACCGCCTCCGGAGAAAACTTTGGGGTCTTGCACCCTAGGGAACCCAATGCCCTTCTTGCTTTTCTGGAAACACTAATACTGAAAATTATGTGGTGCCACACAGGCTACCACGACAACCGATATTACTAACCGGTGAACCCATGGACTAGTAGGAATTCTGTAAATTCTCGCAAGGATCACGCATCTACTATCCCTCTTCCCTCGATTATGTGCATTTATAGTAATTTCATCAAAATCACAAAATAAAATCATATCGTAGTCAGACCCCACAGTAAATCAAACATTAAATATTAATAATGAAATATACATTTATAATGCAACATGGTTTCATGAGATAATTAGGGTCTCGATAAAAAAAAAATACAATATGTGCATGATAACGATTTATTTATAAAACTCCAGTTTGACCCCAAGATATAATATTAAATTTTATAATTAAAAATAGATTTGATATGAAACCTCCAAATATGCATAGAATGCATCAATGATAGTAAAAGATAAAAGAAACCCTACCTCCTTCTTTACTTCTATTCGATACCGTGTACTGTGACAAAATAATCAAAATAATATTTTAGAATAATAATA